GCGACACACTGATCAGATTTAACCTCTCACAAAATGGACTTGTAAAACCTGCGTTTGAAGTAGTTTTTTTTTTAAATAACGAATTGCCGGGGGGGGGGAGGGTCTAATGACAGGTATGACTTTGGAGTTGCCGAAATTACCTGCACATTCGCAAAGTGTGCAAGGAACACTTAAATGAACTACTGAAGCTTCAAAAATTGAATATGAACAGGAAGCAAGAAACAAACACTTTATTAAATCATTGTGCCATCAAATAAAATCCTCATTTATTTTAAACGGAAATCATACCTATATTTTTTAACTATATTATGATGTAACATATTATACAGTGCTGTAGTTTTAGTACGATTTTCAATAAAATATCAAATTTAAAACATTTTGTCGTATAATTTGTACCCAGCAGTATCATGGTGTTATATGTACTTTATATGAATTTTGTTTTTTAATGAAGAAATATACTCTTAAGATGTACTATATTTATGTGATAAAGTGCTCAATATCAGAGATAGAGCGTGTGTAAATAATAAGTGAACATTGAAGTCAACACTTAGAGGCGACAGGCTGTTTCATGCTAGACCCAATCGTCAGGGTGGCCTGACGATTGCGTTATTTTTTTTTTTTTTTATAAATTTTAGCCTAACAAATTGGTGTGAGATCTTATTCATTGATTAACCTTTTTTGTAATCTTTTACAATTTTTAATTTTTACTTATCGAATACAGTAAAACATATTTTGTTTGTGGTGATTCATTCTAGTTTTAATATATATTCCATTCAAAGTATGTAATATGAAAATATTCATTTGAATTTGTTCTTGAATGTTGAAGTCAGCTTGTAAGTAAAAATCTACAGAAATGAGTTTTTTCTGTACATATTTTCAGACCATCTTTAAAAGTAAATACCCAAAAGTTGGTAAAAGCTATTAATTTAGTTCTTGTGCCTGTAGTTAATACATGAAGCCCCAGGTTTCAGCTTGTATGCAGTCTTGCTTTTCTAAACAAAAGTGAAAAATCAACGTACCCTAGTCTCCAGTTGATCGGAATTGTGCCTTACTGAGCATTGATTCAATTCTGGCCAAGTCAGCACGGTGCAAACTGTCAAGTTGGGGTAGGGCCTTCCTCATTGCACTAAAATCGGAAAATTCTGTGGAATATTAGCACCAGCGTAACAGCAGTCGTGTGGAGTTTTCAATTTTGGGATTTGGCCGAAGGTAATCTCACATTAAAAAAAAATAGCTTGAGCCAAAACATGCAACTGTGAGGAGTCAAGTAAATAAATTCGTAATAGATAAAAATATCTATTTTTCTTTTCAAGTTTTCGTCTATCTCGATTGGAGTATTTCATATTGTAAGCTTTTCCAATTTCACGAAAGCAGAGGTTAAAAACATGAAAGATCTATCGCCTCCTCTACAGCGTACGAGGGGTAAATTGTTGCTATTTTATATTTGTAATTTCGCGCATGCGCGTTGTTTTTTGTTTTTTTTTAATTTTGTCGTCTGCACAGTATACTAGAGTCAATTGGGCACCGTCTATCAGAAAAAGAGAACCATGACGCAATTCACTCTGCCAGAAATTTGGAAACGGCATGCCGTACAGCTTGGCCTTGTTGCCGGAAACTCCACTACGAACATTTTAGAGTGTTTTGGCGTCAATCTGAGAAGTTTCGGCAAGAGCTGAATGAGTATAATAGTGATTACGAATGTGTTTGGTTTGATCACTAGTGATGGCGACGTTTTGCCGCCATTTATCTTCCCAAAGGGCCTCAGACTCAACTTGAGGAGGTAGTGCTGCCCTGGGTCACGAGGGTGCCTACTGGAAGATCCTATGTCTAGCAACGGACCGTGTACCATCCCACACAAGCAGGAGAACCAAGTCATCGTTGTCAGGTACTTTCTGCGACCATGTCACCCCTTACATCTGGCCACCTAACTCCCCTGATTGCAACTCTCTTGATTATTATGTGTGGGGTGCACTTGAGCGAGAGATCAACAAAATATCCTGTAAACAAAAAAGATGAACTGAATGCAAGGATTATGGCGGCATTCACCAATTTAGAAAAGGAGACCCTCCAGAAGTGTTGCAGGAGATTCACAAGTCGTCTTCAGACTGTGATTGAACCCAATGGCTATTTTAATGAATAAATCTACTGTTTAGTATTTCAAGATATTTTTGTATAATTTTGGTAAATATATCTGTTAAAATGAGATGTCCGTATTATTTTCATTTTTGAGTAATTTGTATATATATATAAAGACATTTTTATGTTTATACATTCTTTTTTATAGATACAAATATTTAAGTAAATACTCTGTTGATAATAAACAGTATTAACAACATTTACCCGCCTGAATGTCCGAGAAATTGTCATAGAAAATATGCGTCCTCCGACAGGAATCGAACCTGTATCCTATACAGAACCATCATATAGCCTGACGTGCTTTTACCGATTTCGCCACTGAGGAGCGTTTCGGTTAGTAAGATCGATTTTACTGTTTTTAAACTACAAAAAGCACGTCAGGCTATATGATTGTTCCGTATGGGATACAGGTTCGATTCCTGTCAGAGGACGAATATTTTCTCTGAAATTTTCTCGGACATTCAGTATTTATGTTGGTCACACCACAAACTCGCTTTCACGACGCTTGACACTACATTTTAATGAAAACTCTAACATTTTAGGCATTTAAAACAACATGCCTGCCCGCACACACAATTCCGTAAAATACTTGTCGAAAACACAACTATACTTCGATATGAAAACAATAGACAAAAACTAAAAATACTTGAAGCATTATACATCAAACAGTTAAAACCCAACCTAAACAAAATCAATTATGGCATGTCTACAAATATTCTTAAATGTCTATAATTGGTAACAGAAGCCATTGGTTTATACCAACGGCTTTCCTTACTTCATTCTACAATTCACTCTCGTGTAGTCATGTGTGACGTCATGAGATGCGGTGCAATTTTCGCTTCTAGCGTCTTATATGCGCGTGTTTATCGTTGCTTAGTGATTAACTATGTAAACAATGACAGACTATCATCACTGTCGTGTCCGTATATTGTTTTAATATGTTTGTGATTTACATCTTTGATAATGGCTTAAGTAAGAAAGCTTAGATTATATTAAAAAATATGGATCAATATTGTGAATTTCTTTCTTCGTTTAATGATAATGTTACGAACAAATTTTACAAAAAAAATAGACAACACTTGTCTATATTATTTAATGAAACGTGTATATATATATATATATATATATATATATATATATATATATATATATATATATATATATATATATATATATATTGTTTTTCAAATACAATCTCTGAAAATATTTGCCATCACTTAATATATCTGAGAAATGTGTTCTGTCTGCGTTTTTTTCTTCTGCTGAACTAATGTTCGCGTACATTTTTCATTGACATTGATATGAAATACCGTATATTAATAATTAATAGTTAATTAGATATTTCATAGTTTTGTGTAATTTTGCTAAATATATCTGTTAAATATGAGATATCAGTGTTATTTTCATTTCTGCGTCATTTAGACGACAATTTATCCACCGCACCCTTTATAGTGTCTTTTTTAGCGCTTCTTTCGTTAAAAGAGAACAGTGTCTTTGATGTATCTTACCCGTCGAGAAATAGACGGAGAAGCAAAAACATTTTTCAGATTGAATTTCTTTAGTTCTCCTGGCTGTCTCTGACAGAAAAATAAACTAATTAATATATCAAAAAAGAATGTTAATTAGCTTTTGTTAATTGCGAATCTTCTGTTCATTTCATTCCCTGTTTTGTCTTTTTCTTTCTTTCTTATTACTTCTTTGTGCCGTTCAACATGTCTTAATCCCCACCCCGTTCAGAGAGAAAAGAAGAGAAAAGATTCATACAGAAACAATTTATTACCACACGAAAACTATATTTCAGAAACTTTTAAACTCTTAAATACAATATAGCATTGTTTATTTATTGCTAATCTAAATTTATATTTTGTTCTTATTAAAGAGATATCACATTGCTTTGGTCACATGTGGTATAAATCAACATCAATAAAAGCGAAGTGTTACCTAAGCTACGGAAGCATTAGTAAAATAATTGCTGTATTTCACGTTTTGTGTGTGTTTTTATTGTATATTTTACTTATGATTTGGTAAGTGTTGTAACCTAAGGAACGTGATTGAATAGAATAATCGAACGAAGGTTGGTCATAAACGATAATACTTAGCACAAGAACAACTCATAAAAGATTCAGAGAGAAAAGAAGCCTTTCTGCTCTTGACTAGTATGTCATTGCCATACAGACAAAAATTGGATGGATGATTAATGTAAGCAATATGTGGCGCCAGTATGTGAATGTGTTGCTGTATGAAAATGACATTTTTCTTAGAAATTTATTTCCAATATTAGGGTGTGTCTTGTATGCCGCAACGTCTTGTAAAACGGAAAATACGGTAACCAGTGGTATTTGTGCATAAGTAACGAACTTCACTGAAATTCGAACTCGGCTCTCCTGTTTCTCATTTTGAGTCTATATTCATTAAACCACCGCATATCAATATTATATTATCATTATATATATATATATATATATATATATATATATATATATAAGAACACATTGTTATATTTGTTATCATATACATATATTTTTATATATGAATTATCTTACCATTTTCACTTTCACTTTCGCTTTCAGTTTTATTTTAATTTTAAGTTGCTGCTCATTTTCTTTACATTATAGACGCTACATTATGAGGTGTGGCAACGGGTATGTGATTTTGAAGGTGTGTATTACTCTTAATGGTGGGGAAAAATGATGAAATTTTTAAAACCATATTCTTATTGTGAAGCGACTCAAATTTTCTATCTGGCTCCGGCCTATTTCTTAACTTTGCGCGAATCTATTTCAAGAATTTGAACATTTCGCATACATCCGCGTGTTCATCGCTGGATGGAGAGTAACATATGTAATAACTCCAACCCCATCACTTTAAAACACCGGTTTCCTTAAGAGCATCGAAGTTAAGTAACGTCGATCCTGGTTAGTAGTTAGATGAGTGACCGTTTGGAAATACCAGGTGCTGTAAACTTAGATGTACGGTTGGTGTAATGTCTAACGGCTCGGAATTGGATATCGGAGAGCCGAGTTCGACTTCCAGTCGCCTTCGTTTCATTCACCTATTCACAAATGGAAAGGGATTAATCTACCTCTTTTCCCCCAGCTTTGAGTTAATTTGCAGGAATTGTGTCAGCTAATCATTATTCTCTCCTCGCAGAATTCTTACATCTAAAAACATCTTCCGTCTTTAAATAATCTGAAGAGGGTTGATAAACCGTAAAAAATAAAACAATCCATCAATCATATTCCCAGTATAATTACAGACCCCAACGTTCATTTGTTTTGTAGATACAACACTTGTATTTAAATACGAGAATCGTATTTTTTGAGCGGGGTCGGTTCCGAGTGCGTTTGCTATTATGGGCACGACCTTAACTTGCGCGCCATTCTGCTCTCACATGCAAGTTTATGTCGTTTTCCCATTTCCAAACGTTTTAAGATTCACACTAAAAACTGCCAATAAAGCTGTTTACGCGAGATGCGTGTTCTTTCTTTATTCATCGCCATGAGAATCTTCTTTCTTGATGGATCGTTTATACGATGTACATGTCAAAATCTTAAAGAATATTCTAATTTTCAGAGGCCAGTTTCTGGTTGGCGCCGACACAATTTGTAGATATGTTTTATTCCATTTTTTTCTTTCATATCCCAATGTCGCTAATCATTCCTACTTATCTTTCAACACTCTCAGGGTACATTTGCTACAGTCACTTTGTCAGTGGCTGGCATACTTGAGAAATTCTGTTTCTCTTTTCAAATGTCCTCTGCGTAACCATGTCCACGTTTGTTCAACCGCCAATATCACCTGTTTGCAATATTTTGTTTTTCCATACACCAATATTATCTGGTGACTAGCATCATGGATCTATTAAGATAAATTGTTTAATATTTCAGAATTTTTCTCCGTATTCTTTCTCCCTCGATCTCCTATTCATGGAGGAAAAATTAGCTATAGCATCATACAAAAACCCTAACGAATTACTTAAACAGAGATCTGAAATATGTAATGTTTCTATGCATAAAAAAGCCTGTTTACTTGGCAAATAGAATGGTTTTTTATGCTAATTTTTTATTCTTTCTGTTGGCCGCTTTATTAATAAAATGTCACTGGGCCAAACCTCTTTAGTCAGAATTATTCCGATTATCCGATAGATGAAACATGGATCCATAAGTTCTGGCTCTTTAGGTATTCTAATTTTGCACTAATTAGTGTATTGAGCAATGTTACGTATCAACTTAGGTAACACTGTCAGTGTTTTTTCTTTTGGCTAGACATTGCGGTGCTGACGGAATATTTTCAAGCACCACAGATGATTTTAGTCTTTTCCTTTTTATTAATTTTTTTACGTAGATATCAGTTGTGTAATATTTTTTTATTTATATATTGCATCATCTGGGTATTTTTGACACCGCTAGAATTATAGTATACCATATATATATATATATATATATATATATATATATATATAGCGGGTGTGTGTGTGTGCGTGTGTGCATGTATGTTTATACAACTTTCAATAAAAAACGGCTGACAAATTAAATAAAAACGTAACCGCACTTACTTGTCAGTTAATTTTAATTACACTTGCATAAAAGTGGAATGCTGCCCAAATACACAATTATATACATTGCCATTCACAGACAGACTGTTTCGCTGTATCACAGCTCAACAATGTGGCTAGACGTCCGGTTACCTCTAGCTAGTATCGAAACCCGACTCAATTAGCGTCAGTCGGGGGGATTCTACCACTAAGCCGTTGGTGCACGGCAGGGATGAAGATATAATCTAAGCGTATTTATTTTTAGATAAAAACACAGTGACTGAGAGAACTCGATTCGATTTACCGAAAAGTCTTGCATTATTAGCCGTAATAGTCACTGTTTACAAACCCACACTTCCTCCCAAGAAAGTTCAACCGAAATAAATTTTTCAGTAGGGTACGATGGACAAATTGTATTTTATAATTTTAATGTCTCCCATATTCGTAGTTTGTTTTTGATTTTGTTGACTTCTCAGTATAATAGGATTTGTTGAGGACTGTCCTTAAGAACAGAATCACCATGACGCAGTTCACTCCGCCATAAATTTGGAAATGAATAAATTACGAACCTTTAAGAATGTTTGGGTGTCAATCTGAGGACACTGCTAATGATTCGGAAAGAGTTGGATGAGTCTAATTGTGATTACGAAGTTTGGAGTGATCACTAGTGATGGCAAAGTTATGCTTCCATTCATCTTACCACTGGACCTCAGACTCAACACGATGGTCTACATCAAATGACTTAAGGAGGCAGTACTGTTCTGGGCCAAAAAGGTGGCTGCTGGAAGTCCCTGTGTCTGGCAACAGGACTCTGCATCATGCCACACAAACAAGAGGAACCAGTCATGGCTGTCAGGGAATTTTTGCGACCAAATCACCCCTTACATCTGGCCACCTAACTCTCCAGACCTCGACTCCCTTGATTATTATTCATGGGACACAACTGAGCGAGAGAGAGAGAGAGAGAGAGAGAGAGAGAGAGAGAGAGAGAGAGAGAGAGAGCAATAAAACTGATTCTAACACCAAGGATTAACTGAAGGCAAGGATGGAAACATTCACTAACGTAAACAAGGAGACCGTCCAGAAGAGTTGCAGGAGATTCCGAAATCTTCAGCCTGTGTGTGTAGACAATAGCGATTTACTCTTTAGTATTTCAAGATAATTTTGAGTAATTTGGGTAAACATATCTGTTAAAATCAAATATCAGTGTTATTTTAAGTTTTACATCATTTAGACGAGAGTTTATCTATCGCATCCGATACATATACATACATACACACACACACACACACACACACACACACACACACACACACACACACATATATATATATATATATATATATATATATATATATATATATATTCAGCAAACCGACACTGTATCTTAAATCAATATATATATATATATATATGTATGCTTGTCTCATGTACCCTACAGTCTTGGCCCGGTGCCATCAGACTTTCATATGCTTGAAGAATAAAAGACTCATAAAGGAGATACCAACAGTTCTTCAATAAAAGATATTCAACGGTTTTGATAATGATGAGAAGATTTAGAATTCTGGTATATTTTCTATAATGTATGTGCTTCTACTATGAAATCATTGTAATTAAACAGTAATTGGACATATATATATATATATATATATATATATATATATATATATATATATATATATATATATATATATTCAGCATATATTCATTCAAGCATAATTCAGTGAATAATATAGATATATTGGGTCTATTTATTTTTATACTGATCCTTTTCAGTTGTCTAATCAGTTGTCCTGATGTTAAGGTGAAATTCAATATAAGCTTTTTCTATAAAAACTTCCATATCTACAATCGATAAACTTAAGAATTCCCAAAATAACTATAACAGAGTTCGTTCGCGCGTGTTTTTAAAAATCTCTTTTACAACGGAATGCAGTTTTTATCGCAGTTGCAATATTTTGTCTTTGTAATTTACCTCTGAAGATGATCTTGGAATATATCGAAAGTAGCTGGGTTCAATAAAAACTATGGCACCTTCTTTGATGAATTTCATCTTAACATCAAGAAACTGATTGGACACAATTTATCTGTATTATTCAATGAAACATATATATATATATATATATATATATATGTCTTAAAATAATTGTCGAACTTTGTCCATTTCAAAATGTGTGACGTCATTTGTTTACATTTGGATACACTTTGAGCAGATATGAATGTACGACAGAGATTCATGGAAGATTGTAGTTTAAAGACAGTAAAATCGACATTGCTAATCGAACTCTTCTCGGTAGCTCAATCGGTTAAACGCACGTCAGGCTATATGACGGTTCCATATAGGATACAGGTTCGATCCCTGTGGGAGGGCGAATATTTTCTATGAAAATTTCCCGGACATTCAAGCCGGCAAATGTTATTAATACTGTTTATATATATATATATGTGTGTGTATGTATATTATGCTGTACACATTTTATATGTATTTTAACTAAATCGTATTTTTGGAGAATTTATGATTTTGAAAACATGTGTAAAATATCCAAAAACATTTTTTGACTTCACCTGTCGGTAATGTTTTTACAATGTTGCTAAAAAACGTACCGACATTTGAATCTTAGTGCAAAACTTAGAAATCTCGGTTGTCTTGAAAGTCATAAATATTTCTCTTGCAAGGTGTTAGTTTTCAAATCCGGCAACAAAACACATTTGCTTCAAGAATGCATCGAACAAATTGCGACTTCAAACCAATTATATTTCCTTTTGCTTCTATTTCCTTTATTTCTCTTAATTAAAATTTCACACCATGTTTTCCCCCCCTTTTTTTTCTATTTTTCGTCCGATACTATTATTCAACCACCTACTATTGCTGTTAGAATTCAAGTCATTAGAGACGGTGTAAGAACCGCACCCAGAAAAATAATAGATCGCCCATGCTTAGAATATTTCTGTCACATATGGTCCCGAGTTCCTTGATAAAATCCAAAGAATAATCAGCAATATTACTAGCCCCCATCTGGTATCTCGGCCTCAATCACTTTCTCACTGCTGTAAGGTAGCCTCCCTTTGCCATTTCTATTAATTTCCATGGTAATTATTGGGATCATCTCTTTGCTGTGGTGTCTAGACACTTCGAAACTAAGGGCATTACTAGACTGGAAACGAGGTCTCACCAATTTACACTTGAGGTGGATAGAGTTTCTTTTCGAGAACTTCTCGCTTGTGGAACTCCTTTCAGGCTCCTTGCTTTCCAGCCAATTTTAATCTGCAAAAATTTAAATGCAATGTCAATCACTATCTACTGTCTTCCTGATTACGCTTCATCTGTTCTCGCGCCTTAGCAATGTTCCTGTAACACCTTGCGTCTCGTTAGCTTTATGGCCTTGCTTGTGTTGAACGCAATTAAAAAAAATCGTTTCCCTGCGTT